TCAATGTGACAGTGGAGGTTTGGCTCTTCAAATTTAGCTATAGGTGTTCATAGGGGTATTATGGTCTTTTCTAAGTTGTATTTCATGATTATACGTGTGCCTTGATAGCTGCATTGTACTGAACAACTTTGGTTGAGCCTACATTGTGAATTATATTGCTTCAGCACTATTAATTTGCTGAGAAGGTTAAAATCTGTTTGAAAGGCATATTGGTCTTTTCCAGCTGTGCTCAAGAATATGTCACGTATCAGTGGTCCTAGAGTGGTTGTATATGCAAGAATATTACATTTCTTAGAGGCTAAGTCCGGATAAAATTGACATTGCAGCATACAACCTGTAACATGTTAAAGCTGGTGAGAATAGTGACAAAACAGCTGAGGTGGTAGGCCTTCATTGGTTCATTGCCTTAGAAATATCTGAATTAAGCTCTCCCAATGATTGGTGAAAGGTGACAGGTGTAGTGTAGTAGTTGTACAAGGGCTGCTGTGTGTATACACTAGTATATATATGCTGTGATAAGGCACTTTAGGGTTTTAAGCTGAATGAGAATTGAGAAAAGTAAGTTGCAGCAAGTATTCTCTCGAGAGCCTTGAATGAACAAGTTTTTCTTTGCTATTTGATGATGATCCATGCAAGAAGCCCATTGAATCAACTCAGGTTAAGAAGCACGGATACGACAAGACACCGACACGGCGACACGGCAAATCCAATAAAATTAGGACATGGACACGGCGAATAGTGTGTGTGTGTATATATATATATATATATATATATATATGATGTACTTTAAAAATTATTGAGTGTTACTATTTTTCATCAACCTCACAATGAAAAAAAAAAAACTCAAATCATAACTCAGAACTAATAAACTATAAAAGAACAATGTTGCAGAGTTATAAAACCAAATAAAAAACAAGACATTAGAATAATAACTAGTATCATTTAATCATCATTTCAACTTTACTCCAAATACAAAAGCATAGACAGAAAGGCCTATTAACATTCAGGACTTTACTATTAGCACTAAACATTCACAAAAACCTAAAGGCTAGTCCCCAAAAAAGATACAAAAACCAAGTCAGTGTACTATCAACTATTCCCATCCATCATTTGACCTCGGACTTTTACCATTTACAATACCAAAAGGTTAGTACAAAACAAAAAAGAACATATCAGCATTCGAAAAAAAAAAAAAAAATTCCAGAAGCGTCTGTGCCATGTCCGTGTCCGTGTCCGTGCCATGTCCGCGGAGTGTCCGTGCTATGTTTGAAAATTCAAAAAAAATAAAAAATTCCAGACACGTTTTTTGGCGTGTCCGACACGTGTTGGGGCGTGTCCAACTTGTGTCCGTGTCGGACACGGATTCTTCGCCCATTTTAGAGTGTCCGTGCTTCCTAGAACTCATGTGTAAGTACAAAGTGCTGAGATGATGCTGCTGTCAGAATTATTCATGCAAGGGCTGGATTGAGTAGAGATTTTGAGTTCCAAACTGCTGTGGTCTATTTCAAGGGCTGTGTCAGGTATAACCAAGCTATTTACACTTGCTCAGTATTGTGTTTGTGTTGAAAACATGCTGAAAATGAATTTGGGCTGTGAGATCACTAGTTAAGCTTGTTTTTCTGTTTTAATCTTGGATTCAAGTATTGATTGGTTATACTGTGCTATTCCTTGAGTTATTAAACTGCTGGCAAGTATATTTTGGTGAATCAAGATTGTTAAAGTTGGCCTTGTGACAAAAAAATGGTATGCTTTGATTTTAAGTATTCAAACCTTAAGGCTAAAGCTGCATTGGGCTGATATAAGGACTGTGATTGATCTGTGTTATATGCTCATGCTATGTTTGATTGTACAAAGCTATAAACTTGAGTACTACAGTGAAAGACGACTGTGTGAGGTGCTGCTGAATTGATCTCGAGAGGAATTTCCCATTTTACCCCTCAAACCCTAAGTGCAGCAGATTGTAGTTTTGAGGTAGTAACTTAGAATTCTGTGTTGTCTAGCCTATTTTTAATTGTAGGAAAGACTTCCTTATACTGATTTGCATCTGTAATGGTGTGTGTTGTGAGCTATGAGAGCTTAATGGGTCCAGGCATGGTTGCTTAGGACAAGGGGAGTGCTTGTATGCACTGTGGTGTACTAGTGTGTGTATTGGTTGTGAAAACTAGTGTTTATTATTGTGCTTGGGTGTGTGCAGAGAGTGAGACAGCTGAGTGTGTAACAAGATACATACAACTAGTAGTGGATTTCATATTGGCAGTGGCCAAGAACCATGGTTTTCCCTAGTTAAGAGGGTTTCCTTGTAAATCTTGTTTTGACTAATCTTTGAATGCTTGTTTAACTATTTAAAGGAAGTTTAATTTGAAAAAGTTTTTACCAATTCAAACACCCCCCCCCCGGTTCAACAGCATTGGCTTTAGAGGAGGGTCGTTGTGAGCAGATATAGGGAGAGTAGAGGAGGGTGGAGTTCTCTTGAGGTGCGTGGTCCTAGGGGTGTGGGGGTTTGGAAGTTTATTCGGAAGGGTTGGGCTGATTTCTTCAATCATGTTTGGTTTCGTCTCAGGGATGGCAAGAGGATTCGCTTTTGGGAGAATGTTTGGTGTGGGGGCCTTTCTCTTGCCCTCGCCTTCCCATGGCTGTTCAAGATTGTTACGGATAGGCAGGCCATGGTGGTCAACTGTTATCATCTTGATAGCTGGAGGTTGGTTTGGGATGTTCAATTCAGGCGTATTTTTCAGGACTGGGAAGTAGAGGATGCCATTCGTCTTCTGGAGGTGTTGTATCGTCGGGATGTTATGGTTGGAGATTCTGATTGTTGGATTTGGGCTCTCAATGCTCAGGGTCGCTTTGATGTTCGGTCCTTTTTCAGGTGTCTTACAGAAGAGTCTGAAGGTCCTTTCCCGTGGTAGGGTGTTTGGTGTTCTAAGGCTCCCCTCAAGGTGGCCTTCTTTGCTTGGACCACTGTTTTGGGAAAGATAACTCAGGATAATTTGAGGAGGAGGAATTAGGTGGTGGTTAATCGGTGTTACATGTGTCTTCGGGATGAGAAGACAATGGATCATCGTCTTTTGCATTGTTCTATAGCCAAGGAATGTTGGGATTTGATGCTTGGTCTGTTTGGCATTCTTTGGGTTATGCCTGCATTTCTAGAGGGCTGATTGAGGCTTGGAGAGGTTGTCCTATGGGGGCTCGTATTCAGGATGCTTGGAGGGCTACGCCTCTTTGTGTGTGGTGGTGCATTTGGCTCGAGAGGAATATGAGATATTTTGATGGAAATGAGTTGCCTATTTCTTTTCTTAAGTTCTCTCTATTGTTTCTACTCTTTTTTGTTGGGTTACAGGGAAAGATTATAGATCTGTTGAGGATATTGTTGTTTTTTGGCCTCTTTGAAAGCTTAGAGGCTCTTTTTGCCTCTTGTTGTTCCTTTGGGATGCACTCCACTTTTGAGGGCCTTTTTACACTTACCCAAAAAAAAAAAAAAAGTCATTTCTCCCTATGGTAGTTTTTAGTTATGTTGCTTCTCATTATGGCAAGTAATGCCATTCGTGGGACAATTATTTGTTGAAATTGGGAACATCCTGACTTTTTATTTGGCCTGCATGTTCAAAATATATGAAGTTGGATAAAAATGAAATGTGTTGGTGTCACACCTGGCTTTTGGTATCACCTTAACTTGTCCAAAAGAAAGTGGTTATGATAGACCAATTGAGAGGATTTAGTTTGACTGATTAAACTATTTATCTCATTGATCGGACCTTATTACCTTAGTTCAATCGATCAAACTCATGGTGTAATGATTGAACCTTGTTGGAAAAGCTCTAAGAACCTAAATCTTTCAGCATGATAGCCTAACTAGAGTGAATAGCTTTCTTCCTTTTCGTCATCAAGCATCTGTACACTTGATGGGTGGAAGAACATGTACGTGTTTATATATTCAACCAAAGCCTATAAGAGTTCAACACCGATATTCGCACAACAGGAAGATCTGGCAGCTAGCAAGGGAGAACAGTCTTTTCTTCATAGTGAATTGCTCTGAATGGCCCAGGGTACTTTGGTTTTGCCCTTACAGGGATTTCCATGGATATTTGGTGTTCATTTGAGTCTGTTGTGATTCCAATTCCCACCGACGTATCCGTCAGTATTGGTCTCGGGCTCAACCAAGTCCATTATGACTCAGCTAAGTCGCAGGGAATCGGCCGATAAATAGTACTACGATCATTTCTTTGCCCCCTGTTCATGCGTATGCTACTTAGGTTGTAGCATAATACATGAATGTTGGGCATTAGTGACTTACATGGTCTTTTAGAAATGAGGCTATCATTAGTAACACGAGTTTACTATCCCACTTATATCTCATCCAAATTACATGATGTTCTATATGATTCCTTGTCTCCAATTTGATAGAATAGCCAATACGTTTATGCTTTATTGACTCATTTGATGTTATGGTTCAAGCGTTAAAAATTGGTGGTTTACTACTTCTTTTCAAAATCTGAAGAAGTTCCCGAAGAACTTTTTGGATCATCTGTCAATGGCTTAACTAATTACTTCTGTGGAATGCTAAAAAAAAAAAAAAAAAAAAAAAAAAAAAAAAATTATTTATTTATTTTAGATATGCCCAAATAGGATAAAAAGATGTTTCTTTATCACTATACTGCTTGTTCTGCACACATCTCCATTCCATAATGGAGAATCACAATAGTTTGGATTTGTTAAAAGAATTGGAATCCCACTCATAGGAAAGCCATTTCTTCTCATGTACATTTCTTTTTCTTTTTTCTTTTTTTTAATTTTTATTATTTTTTTATGTATCCCAAGAGGAAATTTATGGTACATCGTACGAATATTTCTATATAGAGTTACTGATGTTACTGTGGAAGTTAAAGAAATTTTCATCTGATGAACCAATTATCAAATTTCATTAATCATCTGTAGCATTATAGTTAAAAATCCATAGTCCCTGCAGACGCCCATGTGATTGTTAATGCGAGTTTCTCTTGCAGGTTTTGAAGTATGTGGAAGGTTTATGTTGGGTTTGCCGGTATTACTATCAAGGTGTCTGCTCATGGCAATGGTCAGTTTTTGTTCCAATTAAATTGGAAAACCTTATATTTTGTTTCACTTGTTCTGCTTATAGAATTGTTCATGTGTTTGTGTGGTGGGCATGTGTGTGTCAGTGCATGCACGTTTCGTGAAAAGTAGGATCTTTGTTCTTTGTTTCCTTGTATAAAACTGTGGATAAGAAATATAAAAAAATGCGGATGATATTTGCATTTTAAACTCTTGGATGTGTTAGGCGCAAGCTTATAGATATGACCCTGCAAATGTTTAATTCCCAACCCACCATTGGACCATTTTATGCAGTATGGAGTGATGATATTCACTAGGCTTATTGTTAGATCTTACATCTAGTGCTTTTGGTTTCAGGTATTACCCATACCATTATGCTCCATTTGCTTCTGATCTAAAAGATCTAGCTGAGTTAGAGATAACATTTTTTCCTGGAGAGCCTTTTAAACCTTTTGATCAGCTTATGGGAACTTTGCCAGCTGCAAGGTTTATTGTTGTTTTTATTATTCTTTTTTGTACTTTTCTACAATCTGAAGTTATATAGCAAATGGAAATTTTCAATTTTTTTGGTTACTTTGTGGTATTCCAAATGTTGTTTATGGTGATGTGCAAGCTTATCTCTTTCATTTACAGTTCAAGTGCTCTGCCTGCAGAATACAGGAGATTGATGACTGATCCGTCATCACCTATCCACGAATTCTACCCTTCAGGTAATATTAGTTGATTGTGAAGGTTCACTTAAATCTTTCCCTCTTTTCCATTAAATTTGGGGTTTCTCTGCTTCGACAGATTTTGAGATTGACATGAATGGGAAGCGTTTTGCTTGGCAGGTACAGTATTATCTATCATCTGCATGATATACCTTGTGATTTTGATACTTTCCCCCCCCCCCCCCCCCTAATGGAAGCTAAGTTGGATCGATTTGTGATATCAGGGTATTGCCAAATTGCCTTTCATCGATGAGAACAAGTTGCTTGCTGTAACGAAGAAACTTAAAGAAACTTTGACGGTCTGTTCTATGGGTCTATTTCATACCCTTTTCTCTCTCATACGTTGCAAAATTAATAGATGCGTAATGATGTGATCTATTTGACTGGTCTACCTTTGTCTTTGGTTGCTTTGGGTCTCATCTCCCTAGCGCCAGGTCAAGGTTTCAAGACTGGTAGAGAGAAGAAAGGAAAAAAGAAGTGATTTATTTGGAACACGGAAGGAAAACAATAAAAATAGGCCTGGCCGAGGGGAAGCCTTGTAGCCAAAAAAGAGATGAGATCCAAATTGGACACCAGTTACTGTGTAAAGAAGTTCCAGTGTGGGAATTCTCATAATTTTTGCTTCCCACTTGAACCATTGGTATTTGATGAGTAGGGTTTTAGTTAGTTTTATAGCATGAATCTCTTTCTGTGTGCAAGGTAGTTTTTGTGGGTCAATGGATGTACCAATACCACTACTGCACTTGTATGAATGGCAGTCAAATTAAGCTTCGTCGTATTTTTGTTTTCAGCCACAAAAACCCAAGATTAAGTACAGCCTTGCCAAGAACTATCCCAGCCCACTTGGCCTGAAAAAGATCATCTTCTGAGCATGTCTACGATAATTCTTCCAAGGAAGCATGCAGATTTCCTAAGGAATATGTTGAGATTCACAAAAAATGTGGTGGAGAGGCTGTGGGATGTAAGGCTTTCAGCGGCCACTACGTCTCAAGGAAACAATTATCCGGCTGTTAGCTTTGAGCTGAGGGGAATGCCAATTAACAAACTTATATACCGACTCCTATTTAGAAGCAACTGCTTTTACTGCATTTAAGCGAGGTTCGGTTATTTACAACATCCATTTTTTTTTCTTGGTATTAGAGCACCATATCCAGTGATGAAATGTGTGTGCTGCCTCTTTTTCATCACACCCCAGGGAATGAAAGACTGAGGAAAAATGTGATAACCGAGGCTTATTCCAAATGACTTTATAAGCTAAAACCAGTGGGACAATATATGCTATTCGCCTCAGCATCGGGAAACTGATTATATATATTTTTTACATCAAGGTCATTTGATGGTTTTATACATCAGTTAAAGCAGTTGAGAGTATGGACCTATCAACTGTCTGAGGTAAGGCATTGAATTAGGGAATGATCAGAGAGATCTTATGTTATTTCACAGAAAGTTTTGTTCGTATTGTAACTGAGGCTTTAGAAAAAGGATCGGGAGGTAATGATGTGAGGTTCAAGGGTCCAAAAGTTGGACTCAATGAAAATGTGACATATATTGATTTAGTTTTTCCAAAATTCAGAAGCTTTTGAAATTTCAAGGATTAAGTGCTATTTGCCATGCCATAAAACTGCTAAGCTGTAGTTTAGCGGTTTAGTATCCATGACAGCTTCCACTGCTGGGACAAAAAGTAAGTGTACTAATGAATCTTTGCAAACAAACTGTATATTAATGGTTGGGAAAACCTGATTGCACCGAGTGCGGACCCAACATTTAACGAATCAGCTGTGTCACATGGACTCTCCTATCCCTCTTAATGTAGCGGTATTGACACGAGAAGACCTGTCTACATACTCGTATCCAAGTTTAAGACATGTTTCAAACTGAGTTCCCGTATCTTATATTTTGGAGTTAGCGAGGTCCAATACATAGAGCCACACCTGCACCCAAAACATGTACCCTACACCAGGTAACATAACTGAGACAGCCCCTTAGTTTCCTATTAAAATTTAGGTTTAAAATTTTAAAGCACTGAGAGACAAGTTCGTCAATTCAGACATGGAATTTGTTTTAGGAACGAGAGACTGGGAAATTGTTTTCGATAAACAATCTCACCACCAAAGAGCTTTCTAAAATTTGTTTTCTTGACCATTGCCGACCTTATATCTTAATATGATTTTGGAAGGGGACAAATTTTTAATGGTTTTTGTAGGGTATCCAATAGGGCCAATCTGGGCATGTTAGAAAATTGGGTAAACTACATTAAGCCCCCTTGACTTGTAGTGTTTTACAGTAAACCCCCTTTAAAAAAATTTTGACAACTAACCGAGAGGGGTTACTTTTACTAAAATACCCCCACCAAAAGTCCTGGGTTTTCTTAATAATAATATTTGAACATATATTTTTTGTTACATGCATTTTGGAATCTGCGGTACGTGTAGATGTGATTAATACTACTTCCTTGCAAACAAATCCCATCTTGGAATCTCTTCAAAACCCTTCACATCCACTAAGGTTTATACAAACTGGCCCTAGGGTTTCAACTACGCACCCTATAGCTTTACAAACCATGCTCTAATACCTTGTTGACTTTAAGATGTAATCAAAACAAAGTAAAGTAGAAGATGAAGAAGAGGAGGAGAGAAAAAGAGAGAGATAGGGAAAGAGAGAAAGAATGACAGAATAATTTCATCCTTCCACCACATTCTATTTATACTCACAAGTTTAAGAAATTACACATAAGCACCCTACATTATATAAGTAATAACAGATAAGCCCTTGACAACAGAATTGCTCTAAGAAGGAAGGATTGGTATGAGATATTAAAATTTTACTCTCTTACGAGGAAGTTGGAATTGTTGATTCCCACAAATCTCAAAATGAAAGAATTAATTCTAATTCTCAAGTATGCTCATCAATAGTTTGATACTTGCAGCGGGAGGAGCTAGTTCGGAATAGTGTGATGTATGATCTGCTCTACGTCTATCCTGCTCATCCATTGGCTGCACAAATTATTTGGTACTATCAAATATGTGACAAAAGTTTTTCTTTGCCGATTGAAACAAATTACAGGTTGGTTGGTTGGTATAGTTTAGTCTGTTAGAATTTAGTTGGGATCAATATGCACATAGGTGGTTTTGCAAGCTTCATTGGTCATTAAAATTTTTGCAGTGAAGGAATGAATGGATTCATTTGGTTGTGTGAGAGGAATGGGTGGGCGAATGTGGTTCCTTCCCCTGTCAAAGGATTGCGATACATTGAGAATAACTGTATCTTGTAAGTTTCCTTTCTGTTATTGTTGTTCTTGAAAGCACAAGTAACATGTCCTCTCTCAAGTATGTTTTTGTTTTTGCAGAAATGTTACCTACCAGAATCCTCTACCCCATAAACACATTCCAGAACCTCCCAGGGGGGTGGCCATGCCTGAGAAGGTACGTGACAGCTATGACCGTTGGCTTCTTTTAGAATTGCTTGTAAACAATCTTCTCTTCATGACGAGAGGAGGATGTATAATTTCTCATTTATCAATTTTAAAAAGGTGCAATATTGGTCATTCCAACTACGAGGGTCAGACAATTGTGTTTACTTATAGGAGTTTTTTTATTATTTTTCTTACTCTCTCCCTCCCTCCGACTTTTTGTGTGGTCCGTTTTTGGCTATACATACATTTTGACAAATAAACAGTCCAAGACTAATTATTGTAGTCTCTTAATAATATTTTTGATTGAGAAATACCAATTCAAATTAAATGGATTAAAAAACATGTTACTGCCTATTGATATTCAATCGTCGAGATTAAAGGAGTCAAGTCAATGCAATATTTTTACGAAACATTAAAACTGATAAATAAAAATTCGTTCAAATGGCAATCGGTAAGTTCTCTACATGAGAGGGCTAAAGCCCCAATAAGTAGCAACTACCTAGCAAACACAGTTGCTGTGGAGTCATTATCCAAGAAACATCGACTTTATTGTGGAGTGATTGACCAAAGGAGAATTAAGAACATGTAAGAACATGATTTGCAAGAGGAGGATGTATAATTTAGAATAGTGAAACACCGTATGATCATAAGAACATGATTTGCAAGTGTGAAAGGCTTCCATTGATTCGGTCAGTTTCCTCTCAATCTTGTCAATCAGATCTGTCCAATAGCTGTGTTAAAAGCTTCCTTTGACTTGGTTTCCTCCTTTTGATCTTTTCAATAAACCAGTCCGATATCTTTGTTTGCGTTATGAGCTCTGTTGCAAGGATGGTTGTGTATTGTTCTTGTATGAACAGTTGCCTCTTTAATGTGATTTAACGTGGGCCCAGCAATTATATTTCTAAAGACCAATTAGGGTACATGAAATGTGGCTAATGTGTTTCATATTATTATTGTCAACGCTATTCAGTATTTCCTTTTTAAAATTGGCCCAGTTTTCCTTTTGATTTATTTTTATTTATTTATCTTTGCAGGTTTTGAAACCTCTTGACATAAAACCCTTCCCTATGTTATGGCATGATGAAATTGGTGGCCGGCGTCAACAAGGCAGAGAAAGGTACAAGGAAATTCACACTATTTTGTAATTATAAAATCTGCAACTTCCCTTTTTGCAGACTACTACTAATGCTAAACTAATTAAACAAATTTTGCATAACGTTATTAGCAAATGTAAACTACCCATCTAGCTGGACCATGGTCTGTTACTTTGTCAGGAATACAAATTGGCATGGAAAAAGTTGTTGGTTATACATGCAGGTCATAAAATTTGCCCTCGGGTGTTAAACCTTCAGTAATGTTGAACTACCTTGCAATGCAGCTTAGAAGTTTGAATTCTATTTAGAAGTCAATGATTTTTTTGTATAGAATCTTTTATTTATTTATCAACATACCAACAATAGTAATTATAATGTTATTTTGGTTATCAATACATCGTGATCATTATTCTCAACATCATTATTTTCGTTGTTACTAACTACAACTTATCTCAAATCCTTAGTGGTTTCCTTATGTGGTATCTATTTTTCAGGCCACAAGTACCTGGAGCTATATCTGGTCCTCTTTTGGGAGAAGCAGCACATCGGCTGCTCAGGAATACATTGAATATCAAACCCAATCACAATCATTCTGCATTTTTGAAGCAAATGCCATATCGGAATTCCCCCAGCAACCATGTAATAAATAGGCAAAGGCCAGCTGGACCATCATGGTACGAAAGAGGCTTTGATGATGATCTAGATCAGTACCATGGAAACAACAAGTACCCTCGAGGCATAATGGGTAACCCTAGATCTGCCCCCTCACCTTACGATTTGCAAGGCAACAGACAAAATTTCAGGGGACAAGAAAAATATATGTATCAAGAACAGTACGAAGACTTAAGGAATGGGTTGTCCGGTATGACAATAGAAGCCGGCGCAAGAACCAGGCCACAAGCAATGATTTCTCCAAGGATGCCAAATTCAGGGCAGTTACCAAACATCCGTCACCAGTTTGTGCAAAACATTGGTCCACCACCATCACCCCCTACTAAGTGGATCAACAGACCAATGGCTGGAAATATTGGAACAAATTTTAGACAAGAAGAAACTTTATCAGCTACAATGGGTGAGAAGCAGGTGAAGAAAGTTTATCAGGTCAAGAACCTATCTGATCTTGGGCACCGGCAATAATGTTGCTTCTGCTGATTCTCAATTGTTTCCAATTGACGGGTGCCTACAATCTAATTTTACCGTTGGTTTTTCCGAATGTAATTGTAAATTCATCGAAGGACTGGACACAGAGTGACAACAATCTTCTGCCATTATTTTGTTGATCTTCTATTGCATCAATGCTGAATCCTTTTAGCAAAACTAACGGATGCATGCCTGTGGTGGGAGCTCAGTTGGAGGTAAAACACACGGGGTTCCCTCTATATTGATGGTGCACTCTTTCTGAAAATTAAAAGAAAGGGAAAATAGCAGCTCTACTATTTGGCTGTAGAGTTAGCTAAGGTATTCTCATGCCTTTTTCTTTGGGGGAGTTGAAGAGGATTATAAGACGGACGTGTTGTAGCTGACTTCTAGGCTTGTGCCATGGCATTGTTGTCGTCCTCTTACTGTTCTTTTCGGCTTTGTTTATTTTATTTTTTATTTTTTAAAAAAAGAACTTACAGTTTAATGTGTGTAAAAGCAGTACATGTTTTACTCATGGGAGATGTGATCAGTACAGAAGTTTTTAATTATTTTTGGTTAAACAAATAGTTACAATCTATGTTTTATGCTCCATGCACCTATTATATATATATATATATATATATATATATATATATATTGTAGAGTTTGCAACGTCTAGATACTTGTTAAGGTTCCCTGTCTCTGTGGTGGTTGACTATGATGATTATGTTTCATTATGCTGATGGAGAGTGAATTCGAGAGGCAGTGGGAGAACGACAAAATTAAGTCATAAGTAGTGAGAATTTGAGCGAGAGCGCATGCAAAATGTGAGAGCGGGAGTGCGTTCGGAGCGTGAGAGCGATAAGAATTGTGTGACTTATAAGAGGTTATTTACTTCTGATCCGCTAGCTGGTGTTGGGAGAGGGAGGTTGGAGATAGAATTGCTATTATTATTATTAGGGAAAAGTGCAAAAAACTCTCCTGAACTATTAAAAATCATGCAACTAACCCCCTAAACTATCAAAATTGCATAAAACCCCCCTAAACTATACATTTGTTGCAGATCACTCCATCCGGTGACCGACCGTCCAAAATTGAGAGCGTGATTCTCACGCGGCAGACAAATTAATTTTTTTTGGACAATAATACCCTTCCACCCACTACGACGGGATTGAGGGAGAAGGAGATGATCTCCAAGGACGGCGACCACCACCCATCTCTGCAAAACCCATAATCACCACCACGTTCAACCAAAACCATCACCGTTCCTTCACCCAAAACCTCCACAATTACCACTCATCCCCATCACAAAGCCACCACCAATTGCAAAACCAATTAACCTATATGCTCCCTGCAAAACCAAACCTAAATCATCACCATTGCAACCCAAATTAGCAGACTTTCACCACCAATCATCACCACCAATTAATTACAAAACCAAGCCAAATAAATAAATAACAGCAACTGGAGAGCCAAATTAGCTTGGCTTTGGTTGAAGATAATTTTGAGACATATGCTTGAATATTTTTTACATAAAAAAAAAAATAATAATAAATAAAAAATAAAAGCTGGAGAGCCATCACCGCTGCCGCCACTTCAACCCGTCGCCGAGCCAAGTTCTAGGAGGTGGTGTGCGCAGAGCACATAATTCCAACTGGAGAGAGTGAACGTGTATTACAACGAGGCCAAAACTTTGCCGACGACACACCCCCTTTCCGTCTTCACCCTCGCAACCGAATTTAATTTCAGATTGAGACCCAATTGCTCCGCCTCAAGCACCACCGTTCCATCCCGCCAAGCACTGCCGCAAGCCTCTCTCTGTAACAGAGATGAGGCCTCTGTCTTTGCTCCGTCGACGTAGCTGCCTTTTGTGACACCTGCGACCACCGTATGACACAACCGCCGCCGTGGAAAGCGGCCGGAAAAGACAGAGACGTAGAAGCTCTAAGACTTTCGAGACCACCGTGAAGTTCTGCTAGGGCTTCTACAATAGATCCGTCGTTTTTCTCGCTCTATGTTTCAAGAAAAAACAGAGCAACCCAATATACCACGCCGCCGCCGCTTCTCATCCACAGCCACCACCATCACACCGACGCCAACAACAGCCGCTGCCGCCTCTGCCTCTCCCCAACAACCACAGCCGCCACCATCACCATCGCCAAGCTTTCCCTAAGTCCATCCTCCACGCACCGTCGTTAGCACCCATCATCGTCGTCGCCAGTCGCACAACCTAATCGCCGGCGTCATCAATCATCAATCGACGGCCCAAGCGCGCAACCCAATCGCCATTCATACAACCAGTTTTCAACGGCGATGGGAGAAGCGACGGATAGCCACTTGTAAAGCCGAATCATCCTCTTCTCTTGAAAGAGGCCGCTTTGTTTTTCTTCTGTGAGTCAATTTCTCTCTCTTTCGTTGCTCCAATTCGCAGCTTTGAACGGCGATGGGGCATCAGCACTCTCTCTCTCTCCCCCTCTCTCTCTCTCTGCAGAAAAATGAGGGCCCAAAATAAAGAGAGGTTAATTAATTGAGGGTATTGTTGTCATTTGGCTTTTCCGGCAACCTATTGTTAGTTCAAGGGGGTTAAATGTAACAATTTATTAGTTTAAGGAGGTTTTATGTAGTTCAAGGGGTTAGTTGCAAAACCCAATACTTCAAGGGAGTTTTTTACACTTTTCCCTTATTATTATTATTATTATTATTATGGAGTTTTATTTTTATTTTTTTCCAAATCATTGGCAGGCAAGTCAAGATATGAGCTATATGCATTTTTTTTATTTTTTTTATTTATCATTGATAAGAAACTCACACACTTATTTATTCCTACGGATGGAATATGAATGGAATATTAACATTGAATATGAATGGAAGCCCCAAGTATGACTAAGAGAACACTAATTTTATGGGAAAATGTGGCCTAGGGGTTAGAGAGTTCAAGTCTGCTTTGGGACAAAAATGGGCACGTGATAGGTAAAAAAAAAAAAATTTAAAGTATAACGTATAACACAGTTTTTGTACATAATATAGCCAGATTTAGAGAGTGAAAATAGTTCTGATTTTTTTTTTTTTTGTAATTTTTTTTTTTTGGTTTTTTGTGTGGTTTATTTTAATGGAAAGCAAACGCATGAAGCTAGTAAATAAGCAAGGGAGCAAAGAGAAGGTTCACAAATTCCTTCTTTATATCAAACAAGAGAATGGGAAAAGAAAGCGATTGGATATTCTAGGGTTTACATGAGGAACACGAAACCACCATTGAAGAGGGTCAAATCTCCTCCCATCTGCCATAGTGGTAATACTTTCTATTTTCTTCTTCTTCTTTTTTTCAAGCATTTGACATAGCAAAGATTTGAAAGTCATTTTTCTGAAGGACAGTTTTTTTACAGTGATTCAAATCTCAAAATGAAATCGAAAAGGTATTACAGAATGTTAACACTGGAGGGATATTTTGACTATTTTGAGTTCTGTGCCTATTCGGTTGAATATTTTTGGACTCCTAATTCACTATTATATTAATTCATCATTTTCGAAACCTCTTTTTCTTGATGTATTGTCTCTCTCGAGCAAGATGGACCCAGAAAAATATGTGAGAGGGAGCAATCTTGTAACATTCTGAATTTTTTTACTTGGTTTAATTTAGTTCTTTATTTATTATTATGAACTTATTAATATTTATTTAAACTTAAATATTTATATTTAATTGAGTTGAGAAAACAAAAATAAAAAATTTCATTTTTATAAACAATTAATTTCTAGCATTAGAATTGTTTACACATGCATGGTACGTGGTACTTAGAAGTATTTGCACATGTTTGTTATATATTCATGTGTATGGTATCAATTAGAGCTTTAAAGTTGGTGGGCTGGCTGTGATGAATTTCAAGTTAGGTGGATAACTATTGAAACTAATAGTTGCCAGCACCATGTGTGTGTTTGTATACATATATATTATATATATCATGCGACTTGTATAGATATGTATTTATATAGAAGCATGTTGGTAAGCTTTGGATGACTTATTTAAGGAATAAATTAAGAAAGAGGGTATTAGTGGGCTTGGACACATGTCACACACCTAATAAAAGTTTCATATATACATTATTTTACCTCTTGCGCTTTGGGAGTTCTATGGACCAGCACTTTAAAACCAAAGTTGTGTAGAAAAGGAAAAGAAAAAGAAAAGAAACAGTGGGACTAGAAAAGCCGGACCAGATAAGAGAACACGGAAAGTGAAAGAGAGTGAGAAAAGAAGAGAGAGAACCAGAAAATCGGTGTTCTGCAGAGAAGGAGGAAAAGTAGAAATAGTGGAAGGAAGAGGAGACAAATAAGGAAAGGTAGAGAAATTTGTGTTTGCAGTCGTAAATGTAGAAAATTTTGTAGTTTTAATTTTATATTGAAAGTTTATCTTATCTCATTGTTCAATGAATTATTATTGAGGTACTCTTGAACAAAATCCATTCCTTTCATTATTTCTTTCTTAATTAAGTTGTTAAATTATATGAAGCAATACATTTCTTACTTGTTTGTAATTACTGCACTGAAATTTAATTTATGTGGTTGTAATTAGAATTTCAATTACAATTACGTACCAAGGTTGAGATTTATATTTAAATTGATGATTAATTGTTAATTATAATGTTGTATATGCAAGGAGAATGAATTGACAACTTCCACATTACCAAGGGATAAGTAAATAATTCGGCAAGTAGTCAAGATGAGTGTACTCACTGGAAGTTTATATTTGAATGTGTTAATTGAAGTATCGAAGATATTTATTTGATGTGGAAATGTTTATATATATTATATAAGGTCTATACTCTCTGGCTTGGAAAGAGAGTAATATATTATATAATGTTTATACTCTGGCTGGAGGAGAGTAATATATTACATAAGGTCCATACTGTGGCCTGGAAGGAGAGTAATATTTTATATAAGGTCCATACTCTAGTTTAAAAGGAGAGTACTATATCATATAAGGTTCATATTTTGGCCTAAAATGAGAGTACTATATTTTAATGCATGTAAAGTTGGAAGTTATATATTAATGAAGTTTAATTGAAGTTATCAGAAAATATTTGTTTATATTACTCTGATGTAGTAGTGTTGCATTCACTGGGCTTTAAGTTCACTCCTTCCATATCTATATTTTTCAGTTATATGATTTGGTTGCTACTGCTAAGCCTAGAGTCTTGGGGTATTGAATGGGGAAAGGAGCAACAGAAAGTCATTTGTATAATATGTAATTATTGTAAAAGAATTTGTTAATAGAACTTGTAATTTATGGTTCAGTTGTGTCAGATTTGTGTAATAGGCTAGTGATTTGCTTTGTTTGTATTTTGTTTAAACTACTAAACAGGCACTCTGACGTGTGATGACGTCACGTAGCTATGATGTTAATGAAGATGGTTAGATGCATTCTAATTGTTCAATTTATTAAATAGTGTAAATTAGGTTGGGGTGCATCAGTTTTTTGTATCAGAGCCTAGGTTTTCTAGGTTTTGGAGGTAGTAAAAGTCTAGACTGACAGTGGTAGTAGGAAGTGTGTAGTAGAGTCATTTATTTGACTTGAGTTGATACTAACAAATAAGTAAAGCGGATATGTATTAAACATATATATGTTGTTATATTTGAGATTCATTGTAGATAATAAGTTATGGAAGGAGGAAGTGGTTATCATGGAACCGAGGAAAAAACCTTTTATATTCCTGTTGAGGCTGAAGTGGAACAATCTATTCAGGGTGGTATGGGAAGAGAATAGGAGCAGTTAACTAACATGCAGAAAATGGATAGAGCTATAACAAGATTGGCAAAACAAAATGAAAGGTTTATTGCAAGTCAAATCATGGTACAAGAAAGGCAGGAGAGATAACAGGAATGAAAGAAAAGCTCTGATCATGAAAGGTTTATAAAGCTAACACCTTTAGAATTTGAAGGGACTACGAAACTAGAAGAAGCATAGGGGTGCGTAAGAAGGATGGAATCAATATTTGCAGTAATGGGTGCAGTTAAAGATCAAAAAGTAAACTAAGCTACATATATGTTAAAAAAATGAAGCTAGTTATTGGTGGGAAACAACAGAACAATTATTGCTTACTCTAGGGGAAAGAGAGGTGATATTCTGGAATCCATTTGTTAAATCTTTTTATGAAAAGTATTTCCCTCCAGTTTACAGAAAACAGAAGGAGTGGGTGTTTATTCCTCTAAAACAAGATAGAATGTCTGTCGCCGATTATGAAGCAAAGTTTATAGCTTTGTCGAGGTTTGCACCTAAATTTGTACAGGATGAAGAAGATAAATGTATGAGGCTCCAAGATGGGTTAGAAGCGACTATTAAATCCAGAGTTTCAGTTTTTGAGGAGACAAATTACAATAGACTTGTAAACAAAGCCGTGATTGCTGAAAGAGATGTGAAAGAATTGCAAGAAAGAAGGGAACGATATAAAAGAAATAGATCTGAGCCAACACAGTTAAGGAGAGGTGAAGCAGGATCTTCGAGTCAGAAAGGTCAATAGTCACAGTATGGATGGTGACGGGGTAGTGAGTTTCAGGGGCAAACATCAGGCATTGGAAGAGGTCAAGGGTTTTCTTAACAACAATCTGTACAATAAGGTAGCTTTGGGGGATGTGGTACTAGTAGGGGGTGTTTTCACTGTGGAAGGGAAGGTCATCAGAAAAAATATTGTTTAGTATTGAAGGTAAAAGAGTGTTATCATTGCCATTAACTGGGTCATCGAAAAAGAGAGTGCCTATGTTGACAGGAGTGACCTCAGTGGGTAGTGTTGTTGGTTCTGGTAGAGGTTTTGCACAGGGGAGCTCATCAAGAGGAGGTAGGGGTGCTCCAAGTAGTTCACAAGCTCGGGGAAGAGTGTTTGCTATGACACTTCAGGATGCTCAAGCAACACCGGAAGTTGTGACAGGTACACTTTCTATTTTGGATATAAATGTTACTGTACTTATTGATCCTGGATCAACACATTCATTTATTACATCATCAATTGCTATGCATTTGAGTAGACCACTTTCATCACTAGATAGTAAATTGTTTATTTCTACACCAATGGGGGAAGTGGTAGTTGTTGCAAATGAATATCGGGATTGTATATTGCAATTGGGATATAGATAGAAAGTGTACCTGCAACCACTTCCGATGTTGCTTGAGCATCCTGAAATGTCATAGCAAACACTCTTCCCCAGGCTTGTGAACTACTTGGAGCACCCCTACCTCCTCTTAACGAGCTCCCCCGTGCAAAATCTCTACCAGAACTAGCAACACTACCCACTGAGGTCACACCTATCAACATAGGACACTCTCTTTTTCAATGACCCGGTTGCTGGCAATGATAACATTCTTGTGCCTTCAATACAGGATAATCTTTCTTCTAATGGACTTCCCTTCCACAGTGAAAACACCCCGTGTTAGTACCACGTCTCCCAAAACTACCTTGTTGTACGGATTGTTGCTAAGAAAACACTTGGCCTCTTCCAATGCCTGATGTTTACCCATGAAACTCACTACCCCGTCCCCTTCTATACTGTGACTTTTGACCTTTCTAACTCGAAGATCCTACTTCACCTCCCCTTAATTGTGTTGGCTCAGATCTATTTCTTTTATATCGTTCCCTTCTTTCTTGCAATTCTTTCACATCTGTTTAAGCAATTATGGCTTTCTTTCCTCAAAAACTGAAACTCTAGATTTAATAGCCGCTTCTAACCCATCTTGGAACCTCGTACATTTATCTTCTTCATCCTGTACAAATTTAGGTGCAAACCTCGACAAAGCTGTAAACTTAGCTTCATAATCGACTACAGACATTCTATCTTGTTTTAGGAGAATAAACTCCCGATCCTTTTGTTTTCTGTAAACTAAAGGGAAATACTTTTCATAAAAAGATGTAATAAATAGATTCCAGAATATCACATCTCTTTCCCCTGGAGTAAGCAATAAATGTTTTGTAGTTTTCCATCTATAACTAGCTTCATTTTTTAACATAATTGTATCTAAGTTTACTTTTTGATCTTCAGCTGCACCCATTACTACAAATATTGATTCCATCTTTCTCACCCACCCTTCTGCTTTTTTTGGTTTCGTAGTCCCTTCAAATTCTGTGGGTGTTAGCTTTATAAACCTTTCATGATTAGAGCTTTTCTTTCCTTCCTGTTGTTTCTCCTCCCTTTCTTACCATGATTTGACTTGCAATGAATTTTTTATTTTGTTCTGCCAATTTTGTTTTAGCTCTCTCCATTTTCTGCATGTTAGTTAACTGCTCCTGTTCTCTTCCCATACCATCCTAAATAGATTGTTCCACTTCAGCCTCAACAGGAATATAAAAGGCTTCTTCCTTGGTTCCATGATAACCGCTTCCTCCTTCCATCACTTATTATCTGCAGTGAATCTCAAATATAACAACATATACATGTATAGTACACATCCGCTTCACTTATTTGTTAGTATCAACTCAAGTCAAATAAATGACTTTACTACACACTTCCTACTACCACTGCATGTCTAGACTCTTACTACCTCCAGAACTTAGAAAACCTAGGCTCTAATACCAAAAACTGACACACCCAACCCAATTTATACTATTTAATAAATTGAACAACTGGAATGCATCTAACCATCTTCATTAACATCGTAGCTACGTGACGTCATCACACTTCAGAGTGCTTGTTTAGTAGTTTAAACAAAATACAAATAAAGCAAAACACAAGCCTATTAGACACAACTGAACCATAAATTACAAGTTACTACCAAATTCTTCTACAATAATTACATATTATACAAAAGACTGTCTATTACCCCTTTCCCCATTCAATACTCCAAGACTCTAGACTTGGTAGTGGCAACCAAACCCTGTACCTAAAAAATATAGATATGGAAGGAATGAGCTTAAAGCCCAGTGAATTCAACACTATTACATCAGAGTAATATAAGCAAATATTATCTAATAACTTCAACTAAACTTCATTAACATATAACTTCCAACTTTACATGCATTAAAATATAATACTCTTCTTCTAAGCCAGAGTATAAACCTTATATGATATAGTACTTTCCTTTTAAGACAGAATATGGACCTTATATAAAATATTACCCTCCTTTCATGCCAGAGTATGGACCTTATATAATATATGGCTCTCCTTCCAGGCCAGGGTATGGACCTTATATAGTATATATAAGCATTTTCACATCAAATAAACATTTTCGATACTTCAATTAACACATTCAAGTATAAACTTCCAGTGAGTATAATCACCTTGGTTACTTCCTGAATTATTTACTTATCTCTTGGCAATGTCGAAGTTGTCAATTCCTTCTCCTTGCCTATACAACATTATAGCAATGTTATATTCATTTATAAAAGTAATTAACAATTAATGATCAATTAAAATATAAATCGCAACCTTGGTACATAATTATAATTGTAATTGAAACTCTAATTACAACCATATAAATTAAATTTTAGCGCAGTAATTACAATCAAGTAAGAATTGTATTGCTTCATATAATTTAACAACTTATTTAAGAAAGAAATAATGAGAGGAATGGATTTTCTTCAAGAGCACCTCAATAATAATTTATTGAAAAATTAGATAAGATAAACTTCCAATATAAGATTAAAACTACAAAATTTTCTACCTTTATTATTGCATACACAAATTTCCCTAGCTTTCCTTATTTGTCTCCTTTTCCTTCCACTATTTTTACTTTCCTTCCTTTTATGCAGAACACCCATTTTTTGGTTCTCTCTCTTCTTTTCTCACTCTCTTTCACTTTCCCTATCCTCTCCTCTAGTCTGGCTTCTCTAGTCCCACTGTTTCTTTTCTTTTTTTACACAACTTTGGTTTGAATTTCAATTACAATTACAATTACGTACCAAGGTTGGGATTTATATTTAAATTGATGATTAATTGTTAATTATTTTTAGAAATGAATATAACATGGCTATAATATTGTAGAGGCAAGGACAAGGAATTGACAACTTCGACATTACCAAGGGATAAGTAAATAATTCGGGAAGTAGCCAATGTGAGTGTACTCACTGGAAGTTTATACTTGAATGTGTTAATTGAAATATCAAAAATGTTTATTTGATGTGTAAATATATATACATATAATTATATAAGGTCCATACTCTGGTCTGGAAGGAGAGTAATATATTATATATGGTCCATACTCTGGCCTGGAAGGAGAGTAATATTTTATATACGGTTCATCCTCTGGCCTAGAAGGAGAGTACTATATCATATAAGGTCCATACTCTGGCTTAAATGGAGAGTACTATATCATATAAGGTTCATACTCTAGCTTAGATGGAGAGTACTATAGTTTAATGTATGTAAAGTTGGAAGTTATATGCTAATGAAATTTAATTGAAATTATCAGATAATATTTGTTTATATTACTATGATGTAGTAGTGTTGCGCGCATTCACTGGACCTTAAGCTCACTCCTTTCATATCTATATTTTTCATGTACAGGGTTTGGTTGCCACTGCCAAGTCTAGAGTCTTGGGGTATTGAATTGGGAAAGAAGCAACATACAGTCTTTTGTATAATACGTAATTATTGTAGAAGAATTTGGTAGTAGAACTTGTAATTTATGGTTCAGTTGTGTCAGATTTGTGTAATTGGCTTGTGATTTGCTTTGTTTGTATTTTGTTTAAACTACTAAACAGGCACACTGACGTGTGATGACATCACGTAGCTATGATGTTAATGAAGATGGTTAGATGCATTCCAATTGTTCAATTTATTAAATAGTGTAAATTGGGCTGGGTGCGTCAAATCTTTAAGAAAAAATTGTTGACGGGGCAATAGTATAGTTTTTCTTTAATTTTAGTGGGGGCAAACTCAATTTTTTTTAAGTATATAATTCAAAAAAAGCAAAATTAGTGGGGTGTGATAGCAAAAAGAAAAAATTTGAGTCGGGGCAATTGCCCCCAAGCCCATCACAGGTCCGTCCCTGCTTGGGGCAATTTTTGAGAGTGATGGTAGAGGTAGATGTACGTGAAAATCAAGTGATCAGTGTTGATGGAAAAGGAATGTAATATTAACATTGAATGACTGGAAGGCCCAAGTATGATTACATTGTAAAAGAACAGTAATTTGAGGAAAAAATGCGGCTTCCATCTCGTACGAAAGTTAATTAGTATACCACTTCTACGAATAGCTTGTAATGATTAGTCTCTTCTGAGACCGAGATTCATTATCATGACTTCCGTTGAATACCTTGATCCACGACTGTAGGAATAGCGTTTCCTGCCGCAGTTGATATTAATTTGGTCGACCAAGATACACTAAAGTATGGTCAAGCTAGATTAATGGTTGAGTTACTAGAGCTAAAGCTACGTTAACATTCCACCACGAAACCATTTTTCGCAAGATTGTTGGAACATGAGAGGCCTGAATAATGTTCGAATGCGGAAGGAGTAATGAATTGGTTAGAGGTTTTTAATGTTGTGAGAGGCTGAATAATGTTCCAATGCAGTAGTAGTAATGAATTGGTTAGAGGTTTTTAATGTTGCTTTAGTTAATTTGGTTGAGACTAGAGTATAGGAGCACAATTATCAAAAATTTAGTAAAATGATCGATAATAGGTTACTCAATTTTGGTTTTGCAATTTGATGTATCATGATGAAGTAATTTTCTAAAAGGAGATTTGTATGGTAACGATCTCAGCCAATCACTTAAAGCAAAGTAAATGTGTCAATTTTTGTAAACTACTATAATTTTAAAAAATGCAATTTAACCCATCCAACTTCCCAACTCATGCACCAACCAAGCCCCAGAACAGATTTCAACAACTAATTAGCCCTCTCGGTTTCATAACCTACAAGATTCTCCCATCACATGGATGAACAAATGCCAGGATAAACAGCATGAGCCTATATAATGCACGAAAAAGGAACAGTACTAATAGTATAATGCAAGGGCGTCATACTACTCGAAACCAGAACAAAATATTTAAAACAATTAAAATTCTGCTACAATCATAACGACCAGCCAAAGGAAGAAGAGAGCATCTGGTACTATTCTGAAATCCTCAAAACTAATATCTTAAAATACACGAATTGAAGATCAAATATAACTCAATCAGAAGTCACCGGGACTCTTTTTCACTAATACAATGAGAAGAATGGCTACCAAAAAGCCCCATCATTACATATGAGGCCATACACAGCTCACGACTCCAGAAAAGCTTATTTCTTCTTTCCACCCTTAGCAGCATCACCAGCTTTAGTCTGCACAAAATGGGTTGGGAAAAAAGGTTAAAAATTGACTCTCTTTTAAAGAAATAAAAGAAAAGGAAAGAAGAAAATATAAGTAGTTGTTTGACCTTCTTTACTCCACGGATCTTTTTGGCTCTGTTCTTCCTCTCCTTGAGCTGCTTCCTTGACTTCTCAACCTTGGTATCAAGTCCATTCTGCGAAAACAATAAACATTAGAAACATGTGCCAAAGGGATACACTAATTTGACAAAGTAGTGTACTTCAATAAAGTTTTCCACCACAATCCAAAACCCTCCACAATACACACACACACACAGGAATTAAATTAGATTATCATACATAAAACAAGGAAATTGATCAAACTCTTGAGACAAATTCATTGATTGATTTCAAAATGTTCATACTGCAGTTCAAAATGAAATGTCATCTAACAGCACAATTAAGAGGAAAAAAAAAACCCACCCCATGGGAAATATACACCGCATGAACTTATTGTGATACATCTACGTGTCAAAGGAATGGTTTTCTTGAAGGGAAAAAGCAAAATAGAAGATGGGCAGAACGTTCAACCCTTACTTCCTACTTTTGGGAGGAAATAATATGACGGTCCGGATAGAAATCCCCTCTTCTATACCCCTTCCCCCTCCCTACCATACTACTAGACCAATATACACTGCATGAACTTACCGTGATACATTTACGTGTCAAAGGAATGGTTTTCTTGAAGGGAAAAAGCAAAATAGAAGATGGGCAGAACATTCAGCCCTTACTTCCTACTTTTGGGAGGAAAGAATATGATGGTCCGGATAGAAATCCCCTCTTCTATATCCCTTCCCCCTCCCTACCATAAAACTAGACCTTGATCCTTCCTTCCCTTTCACAAAATGGACCATAATGCATGGAATATCATTTTTGATCTGTAACATGTAGTTTTAAAGCATAATAAAAGAGCAGCAATTGCATGACACAATTATATAGGATAGGGGTGCACACGGTCTGGTTTGGATCGGATTGAAAGTTTTTTGAGACCAAACCATTTATAACGGTTCCACTATTTTTGAAACCAGACCGAACCATAATGCCCATAGAACCGAACCAAACCAAACTGCGAAAAACCGGTTTGGTTCGATTCAGTTATAATATAATACTTCATATAATACATCAGGGAATCAAAAGTGACTAGATGACAATCACATATGCATTGTCAATAATATCAAGCACCTGTGGAATAAACAAACAGACAGTGACCAGATGACCACAAGAAAAAAAATACAGCATTCCCTGTTTACCATTTACGAGGTATTGGGAAAGGAATTAAAAAAAAAAAATTAACTCAAAATTTCAAAAAACAAGAGAGATCAAGTACGGAATAGCTAATGTTTGAAGTCCCCAGCTATCATAATTATTTCTTGTCATGACTAAAAGAATATAGACTTAGTTCACTAATCACTATGAAGTTGAAAAGAATATATATATATATATATATATATATAAAATATAAGTTATACAACAGTTCAGTCCAGGCCGGCTAGTCCAGCAAGACCCCAAACCAGGACCGAACCGAAAAAATACGGTTTCATAATTTTGGGCCAGGACCGGATCAAACCGCTATACAACTAGCTCAAACCGCCCAGTCCAATCTGGTCTGGTCCCCTTTTTCGGTTTATCGGATTTTTTTAACACCCCTAATATAGGATAAATAGAAATTCACTGTTAACTCTTGAAAAAATAAACAAGGGGTTCAAACACTGGTCATATTTCATGATCTTACTTTTTTTTCATAATTATTTCATGATCTTTCTAAACCTAAGATGTTGCACTTTCATTTCTAGGTCGTATTCATAGCACATAAACCATACTAAACAATATCTAATTGAATAAATATTTAACATGGAAAACCATATTGAGAGAGGATGTAAAATGATAGCAAGTGGAATAGTAGCAACCATCAATGCTTTTCAGCAAACAATTCATTTCTACCATGCAAAACAAATTAATAGTACTAAATCCTAAAGGCAAATAAAAAGGTCATACAGAAAAACAAAGTGAAAACATTTAGGAATGGCATCAACCACAGATTTATAGATCCAGAATTTAACAATAAATTTATCACCAAGATAAACCCAAGCAATTAACATGTCCATTCATCATCACCACCACCACCACCACCACCACCACCACCATCACCACCACCATTGCCTAAATCCCATATGAATGGCATCTACCACATAAATTGTCTTTTTTGCTCTTTTATATTACAAGTCATCTCTCCTATTTTATTTAACTTTTTAAAAGGATTTCTAATAACTTCTTCCAATGTTAGTTTTGGTTGGCCAAATTCCTCCTCATTGTATTGAATTTTCATTTCTTCTTCTTTTCGCGGGCAAGATCTGACAAGTGTGAATCAACTGCACTTTCTGTCAAACTTGGATGCTAGATGCAAGGTTCATTTTGACAGCCCCCAGGCGCACCTCCCCCTCTTTTCTACTTTCATGAAGCAAACATTGAAATCAATATCTCTCGATGTTCGTAAATAGAATAACTGGTAGTATGAGAGTCGGTCTCTTATCTTCTATGCAGACTAATTTTGTTCTTCTCACTGGAGCATCTGTAGGTCTTTATATATCCATACCACATGAATTTACTATCACTTATTTTATCACCAATAGGCGTCACTCCTAATTTCTCCTTCACAGCACATCTAGTAATCTCAATTAACAATATAACCATTACCCTCCATTAAACTTAACACAAATTTGCAAAAGACAAAATCAAGTCATGTATTAGATTGGATATTGCTCAATGCCATGATAGCAAAATTCAAGAAAAACAAAACCATTATCCTCCATTAAACTTAACACAAATTTGCAAAAGACAAAATCAAGTCATGTATTAGATTGTATAGCCATGATAGCACAATTCAAGAAAAATAAAATACGTCATACATGGAGATATAGAACAAAGGGATACAGTATAAATTTACCCTGATTAGCCTGTACTTGGGCTCATACTTCTTGGCATTCTCAACAGAATCATAAATCAAACCAAACCCAGTTGATTTCCCGCCTCCAAAATGGGTCCGGAACTTGAAAACAAAAATTGCATTTGTGTCCTTCACCTCATACATCCTTGACAACTTCTCCTTCAGTTCTGCCTACATAACAATAGGTAGGTAAACAAGAACACCCAGATCAATAATTCACTCAACAACGATAACAATAATTAAAAAAGTAAAATACCTTGGAAACATTAGGCCTTCCTGGATGAAGAACATCAATGACCTTCACATACACAATAGATACGAAAACAGTGAGAAACCATTAGATTCCATTTGGTTGCTCAGAAAATGCATAAATAAACGAAATCCAGAGCATATAAACTGAAAAAAGAAACCAAAGGTCGAAGTTTACAATCTTTCTTATTCTCCTCAACTTTCTCAGAAAACAAACAAGTCATGGTTGTACTCTCAATTTGCTAAAACAGAGAGCACAACCCTTTTGATCGTCGAGAAAAATTCATTCATATTCTCTATCATATCAAAATCTAGAAGCACTTCAGATCCTGAAGATGGTTGATGTAGAAACATATACAAGAGAATGAAACTCACGAATTGCTTTCTGGAGAGAAGCCTGTTGGTCATGAACTTTCTGGTTCGGATTGTCACTGCTTTGTCCGCCATGTTTTCGTGTGATTCAGCTGCAGGGTACACACAGCACCAAGAGTTGATGGAGGAGGAGAGAAAAGAGGAAGCAAAACCCTAGACATTTGTATAGTATTTATAGCAGATTTGATAGCTATGTAGGAAGTCAAGTCGGGTCAAACTTGATCATGGAGCATCAATCCGGAATACGGGTAATGTTGTTCGAATTTTAAAATGTCTTTACTTCTAAATTAAAAACAATAAGATGTTTTAATTCGCGAATAATGGAGTAATAATACTAACAACTTACCAAAACAAGAAGAAAAAAATAAATTTTATTTAAGAAATATTTCCTTTGATTGTGGGAAAAAAAGTTGGCTAAAAGGTAAATAAATTTTCATTTATAAAATATATCCTTCGATTGTGGAGAAAGTTGTGTGAAAGGTAAATGATATTGAGTCTCAAGTTTATACAATATCTTTACTTGTGTTTATTAAAAAAAAAAAGAAAATAATAACAATACTTCAAGAAAATTTTGCACTCCAAAATTACTTTAAAAATATATTGTTGTATTCTATTTTTAAAACCCATGTTATATATAAAATGTGCAAGAGACACTCCGTTTTTTATGAATTTTTAAATTTTATAGTAAATTATTCCCTAGTCGTCAATTTTGACCAATTGTTTTTATAAAAATCTCAAAATACCCTTAAAAAAATTTTAGAGTTCTACTTTTTTATTAAATAAAATTTTTCAAATTTAAAATAAAGAAATAAAATAATAAAAATACTGGTTTTAGTAAAAATATTTAAAAAAATCCCTTATTATTTTTATTTTATTACTTATTTATTGTTTTTATTTTAATTTTTAATTATTTATATTTTGCCTTGAGGGCATTTTTCGTATTTTAGTTTTTAAATTTAAGAATTGTCCTTATTTACTTAATTTGGAAAAAGTAAAATGTCTTTTTAACACTAGGTTGTTATTTGCTCATTCTGTAACAGTAAGAGAATGTGTTTTGCACTTTACCCTTCTTTTTTAATTTATTAATTACTAAAAAGGAGGACTAATGTTAGATCACATAGAAAATTCATACAATTTTATATTAGTGAAATAAATAAATACAATAAAGGTGAAGATGTTGGGTTTTATATCAATAATTCATATATAGAAATAAAAAATACTACATTAATTAAATATGAGAGTTTAGCTATTGATGATTAAATCATAAAATACCTTTAGATTTTTAACTCATATAATACCTTTAGATTTTAAAGAATATCTTTATAATTCTTTGAGGTTCTCGCAAAATATTAAAGTGTTCAACCCCCCTTTTAAGAAATGTCGTATGATGGGCCAAATAGGGTTATGAAACACTTTTATATGACAACAATAGGGGGACAACGTAATGAGCGCTGAAAAGTGCGCAATTAAACCCCTTAAATTTAAGTATTCTAGAACATTTATCTATCTTATGTTCCCGTCTTAGATTAATTTCATGTTTTTACCATTTTTATGTACTTATCCCAAAAATAAGTTAATTCAGCCAAATAAGAGCTTAAAAGAAGCAATCTCAAGCTGAATGGAAGAAATGAGCAAAGTGGAAGCAAAGTGTGAAAAAGCAGCAAGTTCGATCGATCTCAACATTCCTTCGATTGATCAGAGCAACATCGATCTAGACATATCAAGATGGATCCAAGCAATTGTCCTTATCCAAAAGATCTCACCATCTTCGATCGATCCAACCTTTCTCAGATCGATCGAAATTATTCGATCTTATCCACACCTACCACCCCACCTACCACTCTTGTCTCATTCCCAAAATATCTCAGAGATTTGTCTTTATTCAAAAAGGCACCTCTAAGGATGATCGATCTCTGCAGCATTCGATGGATCTCACCTCAGTTCGATCAATCTCAAAATAGTTCGATCGATCGAACCTTCTCAAGTCTGAAATAAAACAAATTCCAGCTTATTAAAAGTTAGCTCATGGTGCAATCATTGCAAAGACCCTAGTGCACGAATCCAGACTATTGGGTGTGACACTTGAGCCTCCTATATAAAGATTTAGAGCCATTTTAAGAGCAAGATTGAACATATCTTCATTCCACATATCATATATCATATATTGGAGAGGAGGCTAGAGACTAGAGAGCTTTTACACATCTTTAGGAGTTTTTCCATTCTTTTAGGGTTTCCATCAAGAAAGAGGTCATTCCTACCATGGAGATAGCCCTTAAGGGTTGGATGACTACTTCAATGAGTGGCTAGACATCTACTTGGGGCTAGAGTAGCCCCTAAGTTTGTTTCCTAGACCTAGTGTTTTGTATATTTTTGGAGATTTGCTTATAATAAATGTTTTGATCTTGGATTTATATATATAAATTGTAATTTTTACTTGATATGTATGGATTAATGCTTTCAATTGATTATCTATTTCTAACTATATGTCTATGTATGCTAGAATGGATGATTCATGTGTTTTTCTCTAGATTTAGTGGAGTCTATGCATGTCTATGTATATGGATGAAGTTAATCTAGAGATGGTCAAAACATAGTGCTTAATTGAACACTCTTGTAATTTATTTGATGGTTCACACTTGTTTTTTGATGGATTGTGCCACACCTTTAGCTCACTTAGTTTAATTTCCATGTCTTTAGTGTAGATGTAGTGTAGTTGCCTTAGATTCATAGATAGATGGACAATCTATTCTTGTTCCTTGGTGTTCCATACTTATGAATGCAAATGGTGTATGCTTCTAGATAGTTATGTGTGCATAATTGAATGGATTTTGGTCTCATTTGATAGGTTGTGTTTTTCATTTGAATTGGCTAGACAATCTATACTTATTTGTCATCCATGCCTAGTTTCAATTAATGTCACACACACACACAAGTTAAAATTCAATTTCCCCCATTGATATACAATTGCTAGTGTCTAGTGAAGTCAAGCTTAGTGGTGAGCTCTAGTACCCCAATGTAATACCCCTAATTTTCAAAAGGATAGTCTCGGTATTTTGGTTTAATTGTTTTCTGTTCATTAATTGTTTTATTTATGTTTTAATTGACTTTTTAATTAGTCCTGGTATTTAATTTATTATTTAAGTGCATTTTATTTGATTATGTGTCATTATTTTTTTATTAGGTGATTAATTGTTTTCTTTTGTGATGATTTAATTTATTTAAATGATATTTTTAGTTATTTATATGGAATTACTTGTTAGTGTTTTAATTATTTAATTGGCATTAATGGTTTAAGTGTAATTGATTTAATTATAATTCGTTGATAGTTTGACCTGGTTGTTGACTTTGTTTAATTTTATTTTCTTACGTGTGTTATTTAATTTTTTTAATTATTTGTTAAATGTTTTACTTAGTTTTATTTGGTTAATTGGTATAAAGTTTAATTGGTAATTAAAGTAAAATGGTTAATTTGTTTTTTTTTAAAAAAAAAACAAACAACCGTGACTGTTGTATCGTTCCATTAGGTATACACAGTAGCCGTCATGGTATAAACTTGAAACTTCTGTATGGGTCGAGCAAATCCGATTAGGGTTGAGGGAACTTAGGATTTGTGTGGCCTATAAATACTCACTTAGGAGTCTGCCTAGGGTTTTAAGAAGAGGATTACAGTATCGTAAGTCTGAGGCAGTGGTAGAGACGGCAGGAAAACAGAGAGCAAACAGAGGAGAGTTTCGCCGGAAAAGATAAACGAACGTCGGTGGGAGGCAAGTTCTATACCTAACTCTCTCCCTTAGACTTGTGTTCTTTACATCTCTAATACAATTCTAGGAGTAAATAAACGTTGGAAGTAATCTGGTTTGCATGTTCTGAATTGTTCTAAATCGGATGTCTGTATGAACTGTTGTTTTCTGTTCTGTTTCTTCTTTGTGTAATTCTTGTTCTATTTGAAGTTAATTATTGTGGGATGTTTTAAAACTCTCTAGAACACTAGAATCAAATTTTAAAATAGCCGAAACCTGGACAGTAATGGACAGAAGTATTGAAAACCGCCGGAATTGGAAAAACGATGCACAGGGGAAGGAGCCTGCTCTATTTCAAGTAGAGCAGGCTCAATTAAAAAGTGGAGCAGGCTCTACTTGATAGTGGAGGCGGCTCCACTTTGGGTGGAGCCGGTTCCTTTATGCATTTTTTCAATTTTTTTCATTTCCAGCCAGATTTGGTTACAGGGGTTGGTTTTCTGTGGTTTCAGTTGGGTTTGGTGATGTCTGTGTGATGTATTGAGGATGCTTAAAGATAATTATTAAGGTCCCAAGGGCTGTTAATAAAATTATCTACTTGGGTAGCTCAGACAGTAGATGGTTTAAATGAATTAATACACTGGCTAGAGTTAAAGTTTCTGTTAGTAATTTTCTGAGACGGATAATATAATTAAAACATGTTTCACTGCATATCATGATCATGTACTCGAATTATATTTGCTTTGGATGAGTTGGTATCGAGTGATTTAGGTTTTAAACAAACTTAGCACTATTGGATTCTGGGAACATTATAAGTTAAGCACGTATATATACCTACTGTAATTCGTGTTTTGATATTTTCATGATTACTATTAGTATCAGTTGTTGGAGTTATGAACTTAGTTGATAATTATGTAATATCTGTACTATCAACTGTTAGATGTATGGACTTCGTTGATGTTTACTCTAAATGTCTGTAACATCAACTGCTGAGTATATTGAATGCTATTTTGAATTAATCTTATCACTGTATCAGTTTTTATGGAACAACCTAAACTGTGTAGGTTTATATACATACTGTGACTATGGGAATTGGTGCTTACATTAACATTGTTAGTATCAGTAATGGATAAAGCTGAACATGATTATATATATATAGTTGACTGTGTTCCTAGATGCTTATACTATGATTTTAGTATCTATGATGGAGATATGGATTCAGTTGAGGTCTACTTTAATTATTGGTATTATCAACTGCTGGATGGTGGGATGGTATACACCGGTATGGGACGGTGGTATACTAGGGACGGTTTGGTTCCAAAATGCCAAAACCTACCTACTCTGGATTAAGAATTGGATTAACTAAAAGTTAAGTCCTATTGATTGTAGTGTCATGGCAACAACTAGTTGAGCGGCACTAC